TTGGCAACCAAAATGCAACCAGTGGCAACCAAAATGCAACCAGTGGCAACCAAAATGCAACCAAAAAACCACTTAACAACAGCAAGTTGCTGCCAAAAGATGGTGGCAGCGGCAGCGGCAAAGCAAAGCTCAAGCGTCCGGCTGCGTTTGCCGCACCAAAGTCAGCTCGGAAAGTGCAGAAGAAGCTTGATTCATACTTTTCAGCTTCAGCTTCCGACTAGGTGGCTATGCTGTGCAACAGACGTCGTGTGACTCTGACAGACAGAGAGTCCTGTCACTGACCCCTGTGGATGCTGAAAAGGATGGACGCCGCCGCCATTTTGCTGACCAGTTCTGCTACCCCAACCCCCAGACAAACAGATTTTGTTTAGTAGTGGAAGGAATGTCGGAATACCGGTTTTGAAAAAATTTAGATAGACAAAATAACCAAAAACATTAAAAAATAACGTTTTTTTAAATATTCAAGAAATATAAGAAATTTCCAAAAAAATTGTGTTTTTTTGCATCTTTCAAGTTGCCAAAAATGCCCAAAAAATAGTGTTTCTTAGGTTTTGCTGTTTTTTGTGTTTTTTTGCAAACCTCAGAAACCATGGTTTTTTGTGTTTTATTCAGTTTTTAAAGGATTTTAGATTTTTATTGACACCGGCCAAAACGTTTTACCTAACGTAGAGGGCTTTGCGCTCAGCGCCAGACATGCCTTTCAATTCCTCAAAAAGCTCCCCCAGGTTGCGGCGCATTTGCCTGTCCACTGCCAAGCACTGATTGCGTGCGAAGGACTGCCCGCGCATGTGCCCTTGCTCGACCTTGTGCACACATGTGGCACGTAGCCTCCTTCAACTGGACCATGGCACTCTCCGACATTTGAAAACCCTCCCCGCGACGGACTTGTAGAGCCAAAAACTACAAAAACACAAGCACGTGTTGGCCCAACGCACGAAATTACAGCTCGGGGCATCGAACGGCGCGAACATCGGGCGAGGCGTGGCTTTTTCTATGCGCGGACACTGCGGACATCCAGTACTTAGTGTTCCTACATCTTCTTGCCGCGCGGACACACGCGGACAGAAGATTCTGTCAACTTTTGTTCCGCGGACATCGGTTCCGCGGACATCCCACATCCAGCTCTGAAGAGCGCGGACATCCGCGGACAAACCGCGGACACCCCTTCCAGCCATAGTCACGTAGACTTCATGGTTGCCCTTGTAAGCGCCTTCGAGTGGCCACGAGTAGAACTTAACTATCGAGTCTTCTACCCACCCCAGCAGTCCCTCCAAACCCGCTTCGCGTAGATGCGGACAGAGCGCAGCCAGTGAATCCATGGCGCTCGCCATCTCTTGGGCATGGAGCGCCGGTTGTGCCACCAAATGGACCAACCCTCATGCGTGCTGACGGTGCATCTGACGTCCTGGCCATCCAGTGGCGCGCCAGGAGTTTCCGCCACCATCAGCGCCGCCGCTAAACGGGTCGGCGCTGTCCTCTCCACCAGTGGGATTGTCGAGGCAGCCATCCTCAAGCATTCCCGAACGTTCTCCCAACGCTCTGCCTCGGCGCGTAGATGGCTCACAGCCACCCGCATCAGCTCCGATGTAGCAGGTCGCCCGTGGGGAACACGAAGTTCACCGCCATGGACATCTTTCCGCTCCCTTGTGTGGCCCAGGATGCTATATGCGTCTGTGAACCGAAAACGGCTGCAGATAGACGACTCACAAAACCGGACGTCAAATCCACCGCGTACTAACCAGCCGATTTTTCTCCCTCTCACCGCGTCAAGCGTTCGGATCACGGGTGCCAGGGTGACATTCTGCAAGGACTGAGACTCTGGTAGGTCTCGGTCATAGAAGAAGGTGATCTCTCCCCCTTGGCTGTACAACTTCAGGAGTTGCTCATAGCCCCCATGGATCAGCTTTGCTTCCAGACATTGCTGTTGTGGTTGTTTCTTGAAGGTGGTCGTACCCGTCCATGGCGAAGGTGCCAACGAGGTTATACTTGATGAGGAGGCCCACTCGTCCTGGAGGATGTTCTTGGTGTCATTGAGCCGAACTGTTCCCCCAGCACAACGTCGACCACAACCCCCCCCCCCAGCCAACTTCTCGCGGAATCCCCGCTGACACCCCCCACCTCCAGCCGCCTCCCCCCCTGACCCTGGGGCCTGTGGCTTGGACTTGGCCGCTTTTCGCCTGCCCGGACGCTGCCCGGCTCACCAACAGCGTGGCTTCTCGCTCCCGGACTGTCAGCGCGAGAAAAGCTTGGAGGGAAAAAAAGATCTCGGCGATCAGGTAGTAGGTCATGGAGATCTGGTCCATCTGGTGCAGCTGCTGGATGGAAGCCTGTAAACCTTGGGACTTGATGATGTCGGATCCATCGGTCTGGTTGTTCTTCCCACCAGTCTATCTTGGAGTCCTCGAGGTATTGTCCAAATTCTCTGGCATTTCCCCACGCTGCATCCGTACCAACTCCGGCATGAAGTCGTTCTAGAGGGATTGGCATCACTCGAATGCCCAGTTGTGGTGTGTTCAAGGCTTCCTTGGCAATGGTGTTGGCCATGAGACCAGCGGTCTGGGAAATGACTGCTGTACCAAGGCGATCTTGCCTGCCAGATCAGCTCGAGTCTCCTCAGCTACGCAGGCCAGGGTGCCAAAAGGGCTCGTAGTTGTTCGACTTCCACAGGAGTACATTGTGAGTACTTTCTTCGTTTTCTTTCTTTGGTGATGGGAACCTCCTGTACCCGAGCCTTGACGTAGAACTCCTGGTCGATCCGGATGGAACCGTCAGGTAGTGGTGTGAAGTCCTTGCCAACAAATCTTCCTTGTCCCCAGGTATATTTTCCCAGGGTATACCTTTGTCGAAGTGTTTCCATACGTTCCATATGTCGTAGGGATCCTCCATGGAGTAGGTCATCCGTAGCCAGGGCGACGATGCTCGATGGAGTTCCTCGTGGTTCTCAGCAAGGTTCTCCTGGTCCAGGAAGAACAGACATGGGTCAACGATGGATTGGCGGTATCCCAGCTCCTTGGTGAACAGGCAGATGGGCCGTCGGTGAGTCCATAGCACGTCTTCTTCAGCTTGATCAGTTGGGTTGGCTCAACTCCGGGGATTCCTTCTCGCGGTAGCTCCGCATAAAGTTCCCTGTTGATCGCGTCTCCACTATGAAAGGCCTGGGTGAAGTCCGCATAGCCCGGTTGCCAACCCTTGGATGCCAAGATCTGAGTGGCGAAAACTACCGAGTCTCGGTGTACCTGTGTTGTGCTGGTCTCCAGGCTGAGAAGGTCTGGCTCGCTGAATCCCATCATGACATGCCTGCATTTTGCTTTCGTTGGACCGTCGTTGGCATTGAAGTCCAGGATGATGTCTGACGACTTGGCATCCTCAAGGGCGAAGTCCTCAATGGGCTTGCACGTAAAGACATAGCGTGACTTCATGATCTTGTCTGGCTTGTTTCTTCAGATCTGAGCTGATTCTGTTGGAGACAAGATCTCATAGGCCCCGGTTCCAAGGTTGTTGTTGTTGATCTCCTTGTGGATAGCTTGCTTAAATCTCTCCAGGTCTTTCGCCTTGAAGTCTTTTAGGGAACATTCTCGATTCTTGCCTGGTCGTGCGGCTCCTCGGCGTCCTAGTTGAAGATGTAGAGCTTCGAGAAGTTCCAATCGGGACCTCTTCGCTGGTGGGATGGCTTCCCAACGGTCTTCTGTGGGTTCACTCCCAGGTCTTTTCTCAGCTTCTTCACGTGACCAAGTCTGAGGAAGGTGCCAGTGATGGTGTATAGGTGGTCAGACCAGCTGATGCATCACTGGGTAGTCTTACCTGGTGAGGCAGAAGCCCAGGAGGTGGTTCCAACGTCACTTCCTCGTCTTCCGGACCTGCTGGATGTTCCAAATCCGCGTGTCCATTTGGACGTCGGAGGCTGGTGGCAGTTCTCCTGTCGATTTGCCCGTCCTTTCTTCCTTGAGCTCATTCCCTTCCGGATGCATGGTTGCTTTTTGTCTGACTCGTCGGAGTGGTGGTGGCAACATATCTGGTCTCTTGACCCGCTGAGTGGTTGTTGTTCTTGGAGCCGAAGCCACGTCTTCCCTGTCCAGGTCTGTACTGACTGTGGTGGCCGTGTCCGTTTTATCCTTCCATGTAGTTTCTTCAGTCTGGACGCTCTGGTTTGGAAGGATCATTTCATGGCGGCACCAGTCCTCTAGGTCCTCGATAGCGAAGGGTAGTGGTTGTCCGGCAGGATCTTCTGGATGGAAGTAGGTGGACCGTGGATTCTCATGAACTCGAACCCAATAATCTCCAAGTTTGGTCCAGTAGTCATCGGTGTTGTCGGAGTCCTCTGGCGGGGTATCTTGTTCCTTCTTCAAGTCGATCATGCCCTTGACCTGGTCCGTCTCGAATTGCTTCTTCGCATGCCCAA